TTATTTTATTTTATTTTATTTTATTTTATTTTATTTTATTTTATTTTATTTTATTTTATTTTATTTTATTTTATTTTATTTTATTTTATTTTATTTTATTTCACTAGTGTGGCGCTGATGTATGGTTGTTATACAAATAAGATTACGCAGAATATCGCCCCGTTAAAAATAGGTTGCAATAATATCGATAATGCAAAACTAACTCCATCTCTGTAACCGAAAGAAAATAAAACAAGCTGCAAACTTTTGTATGTATGTAGTGACGAAGTGTGGTAATTATATTGGGCAACAGCTGCAATCGATAATTTAGAAAGGGAGTGCAGAGCGAAGCATACATAAATTGCAGCGCCCGTAAGTATGCTACTGCAAACATAGTTTGGCATAATTTTCGGTCAATTAGCATGCTGGTGACATGGTTGTGAATGTGAAATCAGCAAAGAGCATACAAAATACATTCACCTCAGCTTTATACTTGGAGTGTAGTAAGAAGAAGGAGGATACAGCAGAACGGTGCATGAATGGAGTGCGAATGAAAGTGTACAGAATAATTGCTTTAAAGCGAGTAACAATGAAAGGTGATCTACCTGACTAGCTGACACAGAGATGCTGGTTTATAAATAAGTAATAATAGAATAGAGATAATGGTGTTTAATGGAAAAAGTTTCAGTTTTCAAGTATTTTTTATCTACTTGCAGAAGAAGACGGCTTAAGCTGGTCACACAATACACAGGAGAATACGTTTCGGCGCCTCGAATACTACACACTCTTATTCTTATTAATTCCTATTTATTATAGGAAGCGACACAGGGAGCGTTGAACTTAGAATAGCTGAACTATGTGCTCAGGGAATACATGCGCTGCTGTATTTGTGCTTGGATCAGAACCATTTACGTGCTAACCTACAAAGAATCCACTGAAATCTCTAATATCGGAAGCACCTTTCGTGAGCTGCAGGGTATTTGTTCCTGCTTTTAAAGCCAAATAAGCTTTTTCTGCCTTTACGTAGGTTTATGGGTTTACGGAAACAGCAAATTCAGTACAATTGTATAATTGCTTTATGGAATTATTTGTCTATAAAATCGGTCATTAGAATAATGCAGAAATCAAAACTAAAAGATTTCCGAGCTTTTCAGAACCAGCATTTTTTTTTGGAGTCTCAAGCAGACTCTTCACCCTTTCTTAGCTACGCTAAATATCGCTCATCTATTTCTTAAAATAACGATAATAAAAAGACCAAAAGTGTCGCATTATTCATCATAGACTTCGTTTTCCTTTCGGATGATTTCCTATCGACTGTTGTTTTTGTTTTACTTTTTGAGTCACCTGTCGCTGTTTATGGCGTTAAAATGTGCTTTTAACGCAATCTCATTATAGTGAAAAATTAATTTATAAAGCACAGGCAGAGTACGGGCCAAATTTCGTGTTGGTGCCAACTAACTGCTTGCTACAGCAAAAACAAAAGAAAATACTTTTTAAAGCACTCAACTCCCCACTCTCCACTGGCACACTACGCGTATAAAACACTAAGTGGTTTCTTGGCAATTTAAAGTGGCGTCTAAATACAGCAACAACACAGCTGCGCTGCTGCTTTGCCAACCAAATTACGGCAAATTCATTAGCACACCTTAATTTCGAAAACTTTCCGCCTATATTGTTGCCCTTCTTTACTTGCCTACACGTGACGTGGGCGTCCGCTGAAAGACGCTAAAAACTACCGAGCAACCAGGCTGTCAGCCAACCTAAGTGGGAGGTTGGTATGGGTTTCAGATATGAGCTGGTATAGAACGACATGTTTACCTTACAGGCTGACTGGCTGACTGGCTGTTAGGTTGGTTGCCATTATGTTGAATTGGAAATTAATCATCGAGATAAAGTGACACTTGACGCCATGTGTATATTTACGATGTTGGCCTAGCCAATGCAAATCAAGTGGAGGAAGAAGGAAAAACAGCAACAAAAAAAACTAAGAAACTGAAACCAAACAAACAACAAAAGCTATGAAACAGTAGTTTTAGCAACAGACGGTGGGATAATGAGTACCAGTAGTAGTTTATGGAGGATGAAAGCGGACACTGAGCTTTTAAGTATAAATTCAGTGTTTCGTTTACTAAAAAATAAAATTTTTTTCAAACCAAAGTTTTTGTTATCAAAAGAAGAATATAATCGTCAACTAAGAATGATAAATTCCTAAAAATATACTGCATAACTGAGAAAAATAAAATTCTTACCGAAGAAACTTGCATTCTCAATTGGATCTCAACTTGAAAAATATGTGATTCTCAATTGGAGTATCTTGCCGAATTCTCAACTTGAGAAAAAATGATTCTCAAATAAATTCCCAACTGAGGGAAATTAAAATTTTCAACTGGAGAGAGATATAGTTCTCAACAGAAGTTGATAAATTATATTGAGAGTACAAATTAATTCGGTCCGCTCTCAACAACTGGTGGCTCCATTGATCTTGGATGCGATTAGCTATTTTAATGGCAAGATGTATTATTTATGAGAGTGGATTCAAACCTTCAAAAGTGATAGTTTAAGCGTAGAAGGCAAAAAAAGTTCTGAACAACCCAAAAAGTAGGGAAACGAGTGCTAGTTAGGCGAAACCATTGTTGCGAAACGTTACATCTAATGCGTTTGAGCAGTGCATTGCGTAAGAAATGACCAGAAATGATTGAAAGGAGATTTCGCCACATATCAACGCTTAACCTTACGTTGCGGGAACAGCCAGAAACCACCTATAAACGATGAAATGCGAGTTCTTACCCCACCCGACGTATTCTCCACACCTTACCTCCTCCGACTACTGGCTCAATGACTGTATCGAGTACAGAGAAGACTCATTTTTAGAAGTGATATTCGAGTATTAAAACTTTGAAGGATGCGATTTAATTTGTACTCTGGATAATTTTTGTGTTCATATCTGCTTCGCAGACACCTCCTTACTACAAAGGTGTTATACTTCTTGTTTACTTAAATAAATATTTTGTTAGTAGTACTAGTCTGGCATATCATCAAACTACAAAAACTATAAGCGATTTTGGAAAAACAACGAAAAGAATAACCACCGTTTGGAAAGTAGTTTTGTCAAGTCATTCATTTATCCCTATCGAGTCGCAAGTATCAACTGTACCGTCGGTCAGTCGGTCGGTCGTTCGATCGTTAGGGCGAACGTGCTTCATCGTAAACAATTTGTTTGCAGTAGCAGCAGTGAATTAGACGTTAGTTAATGCTTGGCACGCTATGTGTCCTATAAATATAATAAATTAAACAGACAGGTAATGCAGTTAACGGCACCCACACCTCTGGATTGCCACTCACCACTCTTCTTTGCTGATGTAGCAGCTACGGCGAATGCAATTCTCGCTTGAAGCTCATTAATTAAATACATAATGTAAATATAAGTGATTTTAGCGATTTTTCAATTCAGTGGTGATTATAAATGGATTAGAAAATAACTGAAAGCATGGGCTATTGTTGCTGTGGACTTGCACAGTAATTATTTAAAGCGTTTAATACTCTAACTATAATATAAGGAGAACAAAATCTTGTACTTCTTATTTGGCTTTAATAAAAAAGTTAAGAACTCGATAATCGTTATGCAGTAATAAACTGTTATATGAAAAATCGTTCAAGCTGTAAGCCCACAAATATTTGGGTAAATCGCCTGAGAATTCCAGGCCCCCATAAAGCGCCGTATGATATTTATATTAAACAGACATACTCGTTTAGAATATTATACAGAAGTGGGAAAATTGGTCCTTGAAGAGAAGTAAAATATTGTTATTATTAAACTAGAATTAGTGTGAAGACATATCTTATTAACATATTCTACAGAACTTTCTCATAAGAAACACCTATTAACGATAATGAGAGAGCAGACAGGGAACGATATAAATGTTTTAGCCAAAAAAATAAATCAAAAATAAGCCAAAATATATCTCTAATAAATTGCAATAATTTTTTCTTAACGAGGAACTCAACGTTACCCCACTCCAGTCCAACAGACCATTGACAGAAAACCAGTAACAGCCGTGCATTTCAAAGTTTGAGTAGAAATATCTTCTTCTCTTTCATTGGTGTGGGCATCGCTTACGCCTTTATAGGCGAATAAACACTAGTTCGCTGTTCGGCTTTGATCCGGTCAAGGGCTGTCACCCTCTCGGTGAACTTACCTCGTTAAGATTAGCAGGTAACTTTAACGCCATTACTTGTTTCTCTTTGCTCTTGTTTTTCTTATAACCACAAAGGTATTTCCCAAAGTACTTTTTGGAGGATGTTGCGGAAGCGACAGTCCTTGGCCGGATAAAAATCCGGTCGTTCCGTTCCGGTATACTCGTATAGATCCGACTGTCGCGGGAACTATTGGATTTAAGTCGCCTCTTACGATAGGCATGCCTTACCGCGGATAAATTCCTGTACCCCCAACCCGTAGGAGTGGGCTTCTCTTTGCTATTTGGCGCTGGTTGGAAATACGAAGTCAAAGCATGTCGCTTCCCACTTGTGTCACCCAACGGAGTGAAGGTATTCCTCTTTTCAAGTACCTCTACTTGGATCACCCGTTACAAGTTTAAGTAGCTATTTAAATCTGCAGTTGTGCTTCAAACAATCCTGATTAAAACATAATATTTTAGCTGTAATTAGCAGGAAATGAAATAACAGAAGCACTTGATAGGTTTAATTGCCAAAATATTTACCTCGAGCACTAACAATTCAATAGTCAATTCAATAGTCAGTTCAATTTTGCACCCAACACCACAAAGGCAAGCAGTTTTATAAAATCTCTGCACTAATTGATTTCAAATTAAATCGTACAACCGCAAAAGTGTTGCACAACCTAGACTAAAATCTCTAAATAATTCTGACAAAAAATATTGCACCAAAAGCTCACCTTGGTTCGGCGGAATTCCGCAACTCAACAACAAAAACAACTACAACGAATGAACCGAATAGCCAACCGCAAGTGAAAACCGCCATTGAAAATTATTAATTAAACTTACCGTCAGTGTTGATTTCCGTTTTGCTCTGCTGTGGACTCAGGAAGACATACACTGCAAAGATAAAAGTAGGAAATTAGTGAGAATGTAGAGATGCTAGGCGAATAGAAACAAACAAAAAAAATAAATAAACACAAAATAGGAAATGCAATTAATCAAGTTAGAAAATACATACGATGCATGTGCATACAGTTGCGGTCAAAATATTAGTAGTGCTTATCGAAAATTCTATGAAAAAAAGCGATGACGAGCTGAAGGTTTTAAGAACAGAGGAGACTCTTTTAGGACAAAGAGAGGTGATCTAGTGACTAATTCCCAGAGAACTTATGGAGCGGACACTTCTTCAGTTTGATGAATGGCAGTGAAAATATATACCCGCAGTAAAAGAACCCGAAAGACTTTACATTACGCGGCTATGATGAGGTTCGAATAGCAAATGCCCGTTAATAATGTCTGTTTTGAAATCCAACGCAGAATCACTTTTGCCAACAGACGCTACTTTGGACTGAGTAGGCAATTGAAAGGCAAATACCAAACTCTACAAGTCCCTCATCATTCCGATCCTGCTACATGGTGCAGGGGCATAGACGATGGCTGCATCTGTTGAGCCGCCGTTAGGAGTTTTCGTGAGAGAGGTTTTGCGAAAGATTTATTGAAAGTATTCGATACAGTACCCGCCGTTTTAAGCAGTAAATAACTGTACTCCGTAGGAAGGAGCAGCTAGAGAGCAACCTGGTTTTAGTTGGTATTTCCAACTGACGCCAAACAACGAAGAATGGCGCGCTGTTCTTGATTCGCCTAGAATCGTGTCAATAGTACCCACGCCAATGAAGAATAAGAAGGAGAATTTCAAGTACCGACCAAGTAATAAAATACAGCAATGAAAGCCAGTAAAGCCTCTAACAGAAGTTGAGTCCGCGGTTTTCATTCGAGGCTGCTACTGAGAGCAAGGATACAGCTAAAATGGCTGTAAGTACTAAAACTTAGGGTAGGACCAATCAAAATGTGTCATGTTTGGAGCTAAGAAATAACGTGACAATCGCCGTAAACATTGAAATCATTAAGAACAACATGCTTCCATATGTTAGGGTAGAAATGCCGCTCTAAAGTAAATTCCAGCATGGGACCACACCAGCCTAGTGGCGAAAAAGTAATTGTGATGTGGAGATCCCTTACATTAACCCCAAACGATAATTTTTGAACTGATGTTAAGCTCGACGTAAGCCGCATTGACAACTCTATTCTGGAAAGATCGCAAGAGGATCAATTTCGGCTCCATGCCACGTCGCTCTGCTGCACTAACAAAAAAAGAAGGTACACGCAACCTAATACTAGCTTCTATAACAGACAATATAAAAGAAAGTGACGACGTGACGAAGTTGGTTAAACTTCAATTAAACTTTAATTCATCGGATAGTTAGCAATATAATATGTACGAGGGGATTAACAAAAGTTCAGTCAGTTGGTGACTCTCAATTTGTTTTTTCTTTTAATCTAAAAATACCAAATCCTTTGTAATTACTTTATTAAATATTTATAAAATGAACAGAAGAAAGCTGAGGATAGGTCAGACGAAATTCCACCGGCAACACAAACAGAAATTCGTCATGTGCTTCCCTTCGGGTTTCGGTGTAATTTGCAGCCAATAAAAATATTCATTGCACATGGAACGATTAAACAATCTTAAAGGACTTTTTCTAAGTGGTTCCAAAGATTCCAGACCGGATATTTTTCCGCAGGAGACTAGTCCCGAGAAGGTCGACTAAAATCTTCTACTGATGGTGTCACTGCAGCTCTGGTGAAGTCCAAAATTAACGAACACACACGACTGATACAAGAGATTATTGCTAAATAATTGCGCTTGAATGCCATGGCTGTATGCCGAACATTGACTAAAGAAGAAATCTGCTCGATGGGTACTACGAAGCTTAACTGAAGCCCAAAAAGAGGCTCGGGGGAATTTCGTTAAATTTATCCTCAATCAATTCGTTTAAATGTTCAGTCTAGCACCTTTAGTAGAGTTTCTACTGGTGACGAATCTTGATTCTATAAGTACGAACCAGGAACCAAACAGCAGGACATGATATGAAGCCCAACAGAACCAAATCCGCCCGTAAAATCTGAGCAACAAAAACCAGCAGCAAAAGTAATGATGTCTGTTTACTTTATCCGATCTAAAATCGTAGCTGCTGTTCCACTGAAATAGGGTCAGACAGTAGCTGCAAAATGGGACACCGCAGAGTGCTAACCAAAAGTTTCGAAAAATTTGTTGGAAAACAGGAAGAAAGAGGATTTACGGCGCCATCCCACATTGCTGAAATAACGAGTAATTTTAAGGCGATCTCTGGGGTCGAAGAAATACTTCCAAACCTTATTCCCCAAATATAGCACCTTGTAATACCTGATTATTCCCAAAAATGATAAAAATTTAAAAGAAAAGTTATTTAATAGCAACAACGAGCATATTAATGCGGTTAATGCTGAACTTGATAAGTTTAGAAAGCAAGATTTTAAAAAGATGTTATACACATTTGGTGGTCGTCGGCTGTGTGGGCCCTGGTTTGGTCAAAACGGGTCGTGCCTTGAACCTTTTGCAATCGCTAAACCAAATTGTTGGCAACAAAGGAATAAGTTAAAACCTCATTTTTTGTTGATGTTACAGTTATAGCCATCAAAATATTTCCCAAAGTGTTTTTTGAGAAGGAGTGACAGTCCTGGGCCGGATAAAAATCTGGGCCGTTCCGGTATAAAGACTCGACTGTCGCGGGAACATTTTGGGAAATTATTGAGCCCCAATCATACAGAGGTGATTTGTTTTGCTTAATATTTGGGCTCCTTGGGAAATAATTAATCATTTTTCATGAAAGTGTTTAAACATACTTTTTTCGGACTACTTGCGTCAAGTTTGCTCGTACACACTGCTAAGAATTTGGCCGCAGCTGTACACACATATATAAATATTTTGCAAGTATATGCATGTGTTTGTGTTTGTACGTGTTTCCTATAAGTCTGAATTTCAAAGCGTAGCTCTATTGCAAAGTGCTAACGTGAGTGAGTTTCATAGTGTTGGGCGTTTTTGGAAGTCGAAACAAAAAAAAACGAAACTTCCAACACAAATCAGGTGGGACAAACACAAGAAATAGAAGGAAAATAAACAACTTGCAATGAAATTAGAAACACAAAATAAGCAAAGAGGCAGTAGCAAATGGCGTTGAAAATCGAAAGCACATCAAGCGAAACAAAAAATCTAACAAAAAAAAAACATAGGCGAACCCAAACAACAAGTTTTTGGGAAAACACACATGCTGCCAACAAAAACCAACAAGAATATATGTGCGTATGTTATAAGGGTGTTTCCAGGAATGCAGTTAGCGTCACACGTTTAGATAATTATCTATATGAAAGGATGCTGGTCTAAGTAGAAAATGAAAATCTTTTATGGTAGGCGAAAGTGCTCGGCAGTGCTACATAAACTGTCATCTGGAGATCCAGAAGAAACTGAACAGCCCTAGAAGCGGCAAGATTGAACTAGTAAAATACTAGTGATTTTATGAAATGAAAAACTAATATGCTTTATAAAAGAAATTTTACTACAGCAGAATTTATCTTATGAGTCTCATATAGCATTAATCTCTAATCACTTGACGATATTCCAGTAGCCCAAACAACTGTGGCCTTTCTTCTCCCGTCTTTCACATACCAACTGAGCTCTGCAGCACGTGGCTCCCGAAAAGGGGACCATGGACTTTCATATCGAAGTAGATGCCATAGAAGTTCTCATAATTAACAACCCAATGTGACTGGGAGTCACATTCGACAGCTTGCACTTCTTTACTCCGCATACGACTGCAATTGCCACAAAAGAACAGAACCACAACAAAATCCTCAAAGCGGTGGACGGCAGCACCTGACAAAAACACAAAGAAACGTTGCTAGCAATATATTGTACAATGTAATTAGTCGGCGGTCGTAGAAACTACGCTGCTACAATTTGGGCATTGGGGTCTACTGAAACGCAGATGAAGAAACCACATGTCAGAACACCGGATTAATAATCATGACAGGAAGCCTTTTGATTTCGTCGGAGCATCACTTGCACAGCGAAGCATTTATGCTACCGTAAGAGATAACAGACATTTACTTGAATTCGAGCCATCACATAGACACTTTAGAAAGGGAATAATCGACTACAGGGCCTCCATTCAGCACCACGTATAAGAACCGTTGGCGAGGACGGCGTACCGACAGGCTACTTATCGAAAGTGTGCTAACAACTTCTTGAACTCCTTTCCAGCGAACAGCGTTCATGTATTTCAATTGCCTCTCTGCACTGCAGACGAAGAACATGAGCTGCCTCGAGGATTCTGAGTAATACTCGCACAATTAAGATGTGGAGTAAATTCCTCCTTTTCCAGACTGGACGCAGGCATACGTATGTCCTGCAAACAATGAGGCCTTGTATGATTCTCACCACCTCCTTGTGTGGTCCGAACCCAACGAAACAACTCTTTTCCGGGACCTCCCGTTGGATGACCTCCATGATTTAGACTGGTGATTTTATATACTAGCATAACTTTTCACTTTAATCCCTGTAGATCGCAAGAAAGGAACACAGTGTCGAAGTTGGTTTGACAAATTTCGTTCGGGAGATTTTTCGCATAACGGTAAGTTACGTTCAGGTCGGTCAAGTGAAGTTGATGATGACGATATCAAGGTTTTAATATAACCGGATCGTCATGTAACTGAGAGCGAGATTGCAGAGAAGTTAAGTATACCAAAATCAACCGGCCATAATTATATACGACGCCTTGAGCTGGGTACCACATAAATAGAAAGAAATTTATTTAACGAGCAGCTTCAACGCTTGAGATATGCAGCTTAAACGCAAAGATTTTAATGTAAAGACGAAGATATGTCATTTATATGGAAAACAATATTAGCCAAAAGGCCGTCAGGACCGTATCCTTTTTAAGAAATTTTCTTTCACCATATCGCAAAAAGTTTGCTGTATGTCTTTAACAAGTTCACGAATTCCATCTATGAGATCTTGAATCGACGTTGGCCTGCTGGGGTAGATCTTATGTTTCACATGGCTCAAGGAAAGAAATCGCAAAGTGTGAAATCACAAGAACTCGGTGGGCAATTGCAAGCACCTCTTAGAGAGATAGCACAGTCCGAATACTTTTCCCTATAAAATCGATGGTTTCGTTGTACGCCGCAGCATCGACTCGTTGAAAGTCAACGCTTTCCAGATCAATATTTTTTTCCGGCCAGAAAAAATCATTAACCATCTCTTGATAGCGCAACTGTTTCTCCAGCCTCATTTCAAAAATGTAAGGTACAATCACCTCGTCGGACCATAAACCGCACCAAGCAGTTGCTCGTTGAGAATGGAGGTGCTTTTTAAAAGTAGATCTAGGGTTTTTGACGTATTTGGCATCATCGCATTTGTTGAATTTTTTATTCAAGAGCCATCTTTTGAAGTTTGGTTAGAGATAATAGTTCGAGGGAGCCCAATCCGGCGAATATGGTGGATGCTGCGGCAATTGGAGCCCTAAGTCATTGATTTTAGCTATGAAAGGTTTTATGAGAAAAGGAACATCGTTTTGTCCACACTCACCATGATGCCAAACACGTCAACAACAACCAGCGGTCAAAACAAAACTGCACGGAAATTCGGCATGTTTGCCTCAATATGAGCGAGCTTCAAGGCACTGCAGTCTTTTTTGCAGTAGCAGCGCATTCTTGTGGTCAAGGACCGCCTGGTAAATTTAACAGTTCATCTGTCTACCGAGTTTGACTGAAGTATTTCAGAAGCCAATGGGCAGACGGACATGGCTAAAACAGCTCATCTCGACATTCCCAGTTTTGCTTCGAGATTGAAAGATCTATCAGCGAGGCCCTGTAGTTTACTCTGGAAATGCCCACCACTCACAACAAGAGTATCAAAAAAGTACCTACGGCTGGATTTAGTTGAGAGTTGCACCAAATCCAGGCTACTGCAGCCACAGGTGTAGCAGCACTAAGCGCATAAACGGAGCACACAAGGGTTTTACCATGATGCTGAAGTTGCTGCTGCTGCTGTTGCCAGTACTACGGCTGTAAGCCAATGTGACGACTCCGCATGCAGGTGTGTATGTATGTATGCACATGTTGGCTATGTTGTTCACCACCAGAGCGAAATTTGTTTATCAGTTTTAGGAAATATTTTTCCAACTTGTACCTACATATACACATTTTTTTAATGTGGACTCGAAGTGTACACACACACATACGCATCTACATTGTCGCACAAATATTTAAAATGCAAAAAGAGCAACGCCAAACGCATGAAACGTGGTAGTGAGGGAGATGGGGACACGGAATCTAGTTATGTACTTATAGACTTACTACATGCAGCAAGTTAATTGGTTACGCAGTCCAACGACTGTGCATAGTATATGTGTATAAATGAACAACAACAACAACAATAACAACTAAGTTGGTAACAAGCGGAATAAAGCGGACTCTGGTGGTGAACAGTTCACTATCTCTGGATACACCTATCACATCACTTTGTTGCCAGTTGTTGTCTTGTTTTTGTTGTTGCTACACTTTTTGTTGTCACAAACACACAAACACGCATTGTTAATAAGTTGGCATTTTTGTGTGGCTTAAAATGTTGGCAGCTACAGGCAGTAGGCTGCAAGCAGACTAAGCGCAAAGACCACTACAGATAATAACGGTAAAGCTTTTGACTGTCAAACTAGTTGTTATCGACAGTTGGCTTAATTTACCTAGCGCTCAATGCGTGCCTGTTGCCTATTTGTTGTTAATGTGGTTAAGTGTTTCAATGGATGGGGGGCTGGTCGGACGGCAGGGAAACGGGAGAAAAGAGAGCGAAACAATTTTTGAAACAAGTTAAAGGTAAGCACAAGCAACGTACTGTAACATCAGGCGATAAGCTTTGCCAACAACAACAACAACAACTTTACAGCAACACGAACATACACACAAGCCATATAAGGAGCGTGAAGGCCTACAGAAACGAAAAGACAAAAAGTCGGTTTGTTTAATTGAACTTAAATGGAAATTTGCAATTCTAAAATGCGTTAAGTTTCATAAACTTTAAGTAGGCTTCAGCGTGGAGACGATGATGTAATAGAAAGGCAGAGCTGGTTAGATGATTGACGTGTTGGCGTCTACCCACTTTTCGTGCATAAGCCGGTTGATACTGTTTTCAGAGAACGACGCATTTTCTGATGGGCAGAATGGCGGTGAGTTTGCTTCATTATTTTGACACAATCCAGTTGCAAAATCCCACGTATTTGGAGCTTAAAAAGAGATCAAACTCTGTAGTGTCCAATTTCTTACGAGACTCCGAACCATGATGTACTTAGTGGGGTCTCTTAGTTGATGAGAAATCGTCTACTCTTTCTCCGCGCTTTTATAACTCCTGCAACAACGTCTGAAACTCTTGGGATTTTCGCGTACCTTGCTATGAGGCACTGACTATTAGAACTTCTACTTTTTATAACCCTTTCCGGCCTTATATCAGTATAATTTACCTAGTCTGGATGGACCAAATTTAATACCAGTTTATATATTTAAAAAAAAAAACACCCCTGTTAAGGATATCTCTCTTGGGTGGATTGTTTCCTTGTGGCTTCCAGCTCGATGATTTGATTTCCCTATTTACTAGCAGACTGGTCGTGCAACAGATGAGAAGCAAATTTTCCTGCAATCGACTTCATTACCGTTTAACGATACATCGGGCATTAAAGCTCTCCGCTTTGAGTCTGACTCATTCCCAAATCTTTTTAGGACTGCCTTAAAATCTATAAACCAAAGAACGATGAACATTAGTTATTATTGGTGTTACCAAAACCTAGTTTAAACAAAATTTAACATGAAAAACTAAATTCCGAAATTTCGAACGAAATTCACGATTCCCTCGCACAACAGTGCAGGAGTTTTCGGCTCAATATGAATAGCTCCGCTCAACAAATTTATTGCTAAAGTGGCAATTTCAAAAACTTTCCACTTACATCCTTGCCAACAACGCCACAAAGCAGCGTGCAATATACAGAAACTATAAAATAGTTTCGCTCCAAATAAGGATGAAACAAAACAAGTTCCAAAACTTAAATAGAAAGTTTTAAAGAAAAATAAACAAATTTTTGTTTAAAAAAAATTACTACTAAACGCTAGTATAATAAGTATATATAGGCTTATCCATTTCGTGGTTTCGTGTCACAGGACATCTGTAAATTTAACTATCAAACCAAACATGTTGTGTTTTACTTAAAAGTAAGGTAGTTTTGAAAATTTTTCGCTTCACAACCGTACAGCACGGTAAAATTGCTTAAATCTAATACAAAAATTATAATTAATTCATTCTTTAAAGGAACATTAAAGTGCGACGTCCAATCACTGAAGCAATTGGTAAAATTCGAAAGATATTTGAAGAGAATGGATCGGTAAAGTCCGGTGGATCAACGCTTTGCTCGTGTCCCTTCATAAGGGGCAAATGTAAGTGAAAGTGGAGACCTAAATGTGTCTATTTCTCCGCGCTCTCAAGAGCTGGAACTTACTAACGGCATATTTTTCACTTGGGTTACATCTCTATCCATATAAAGCCCAGCTCCAGCCATTCACAACACCGTGCATACGTCGAGTAGGTGCTTGGTCAACAAGCAAAGGACGACAATTTTTCAAATAAAATTCTCTTCGGCGACGTGAAAAATTTCTCACATTTTACTTCAAATAATTTAACAGAGCCAACAAAAAAGTTTACTATCTGGTGCCTTCTTTACTCCGGAACTGTGGTTGGGTCCTACTTCTTTAAAAACGACTAAAGTCTCGCCGTCACCATCAATTCGGTACGTATAATAACCGACTTTCTTTACCAGCAATTGAGAAACACAATCTCGACAATGTGTGGCTTCAACAAGATGGTGCTACATACCACACAGCACGAGCGAATAAGAATTTATTAAGAGAAAAATTTTCCGGCCGCGTAATCACTCATCTTCTTAGCGATGTCAATTTGGCCACCGAGATAGTTCGATTTGACACCGTTAGACTTTTTTTGTAGAAAGAACGTGTTTAAGCTGATAAATAAATTTAACTCTTGAGCACCTAAAAACCAGCATTCGCCATGTTACGACTGAGATATCGCCCAAATTGTGCCAAAAATTGGTCGAACACATCGAATTTTGTGTAAATTCGCGAGTGTCATTTATTTTCAAGGCCAAAAAATGGTTAACCCTTTATATATATATTCAACAAGTACATATACATACACGTACATGTATGTTAGTATACAAAAATAGCCAAACGAGCGCGCATTAGCGTTACTTACACCAAACAGTGAATCCCAGGACGACCAGCGCTGTGACGATGAGCCCAATATTCGATATAACTTTCACGAAAAACGATGATGAATTACTAAACGGTTGTGTGGAGCAAGTTTGTAGCAAATTGTTGGTGCCAAGTATTGGTATCTGGAAGAGAAGAAGAAACAGAAAAATGTAAATATATTGATTATGGCGTGAATAGGAGAAAGAGCACTCTGTAGAGCTATGAAAATTAAATTGTAGTACAAACAAGAAAACTTAAGTGTCAACTTAAATTTGGACCTATAAATACATACTTTTGGAATTTTGGTATGATATATGTATGTATATTCATTTTCTTAGAATTTGTATCTATTCACAACAGCAGCAAATGTCCTTTAAGGAATCGGTTTAATTTAAATTTAAAAAAAGAGTAAATAAATCTTAATCGATTTCTCCAAAAAATTAGGCAAATCCAGAAATAAATGGACTAAATTTGGCATCCTTTTTCCATATAATTTTGAAGTGGGCAGCGCACGACTAGATTTTCAAAACTCTCTCTGTGAATACCACGGTGTGTGGAGAGGCTTTCACTCCCACAATCTACTTTGCCAGTTTGCCCGTCAGAATGGTCTCGCAATTCCGCAAGTAGAAGCGTTTCTAAATATCTTTATGTCCAATAGCCTCAATGGAAAATATGATAAGAAATACTTGATCAATAATAAAAGAAACGACGCACTCTTCTTTCCAAGAAGCGAAGCATTCACTCTTTCTACCGGTGCAGAAAACTAGGGTCAAAAGATGAGAGACAATTATGACATTATTATTGGGGTTAATGACATAATACGGATACATATACACCAATAACCCTCTTTTACTACCAGTTTTTAAGAAAACTTCATAGAACAACATAGACCTAACAATGCCTTCGTAACTTGAGGTATACATGCTTGAGGCCGGTAGTGACGCTTCGACGGTATAAGGCAATATGCAAATTCTTTCGTAAAAGGAACCGTTTTCGGGGTTTCATACTTCTTGGTGAATAAGTAATATTGTCCTTACTGACAAGGTTACCTCTGATGACCACCCTTACTCCTACCAAATTGAAGAAGAAGGGAAGAAGTAACGGTGAGATGAGGACGACCGCAACAGTTATCCACTCTAAAGGGCCAATTAATATTCAAGTGATGTATGAAGCAGCATATACAGTTAGCCGATCTAGACAATTGGATTCAGTCCCTCAATTGTGAAGCACATAGCATTCATGAAGTTATATCAGAACTCAGATCACAAGTAAAATGTGCACGGAAACCGGAAACCTTCTGCCACGTAGATGTCACAAGCTGCTTCCCTAGTGTAGAATGGACGGAAGGGAGGCCCATTGGTAAAAATGAAGATATATATGTATATACATATATGGCTATAAGTCGAAATATTAGGAAGACACGGGAGAAGTGTACTTCAGTGAGCACACCAGCAACCAAAGTAATTTCAATGACAACGACTACGACTCTGTCTTCCAAGCAGAGATTGTGGTCATTGCCCTTCAAATGTTGTTAAAAGCATTGGATCAAGGAGGACTCTTTGAAACTCTTTGTATTATATTTATTTATTTATTCATAGCATTTACCACTGAAATATGATCTCCACAAGCCAGGCCAGGAATCGGCTATATGCAGAGCATGCAAAGAGGCTAACGAAACGTTTGAGCACAACCTTTGCGGGTGCCGAGCTTTCAAGCGATTGAGACGTTTCACCATGAACCTGCTCAATGGCTGAAGTGCGGCCGTTGGCGATCAGATCCTCAGCATCCCTCTCTCAAACAACCAACCAACTACACTGATGAAATGAACCGTCGGTCAAAACCCGAAAAAAGTGCACTCAAACCACTAACAGTCCAGAAAATTTTCATTGGAAAACAAGCAAATATTAAATATCCAGAGATTATTTCAACAACAAGACATGTTCTTCACGGAAAAGGCTTGTTGGTGATTGGCCGGCTGGCTAAGTTCTTTTGTTAACTGACCTAAATCTTTATGCAAAATATGGTGTAAATAAAGTTTGTGGAATGCCCAATGACAAAAGAACGACCAGGAATGGACAAACCAGGGATTTCTTCAACACTTTGGGCTACAGCAGCGATATTCTCAGTTGTTCTTGAACGACGGGCGCATGTTTCACTCTTCACATCACCAACTTGCCCCAATAGCCATATCTGTCCGGTTTTCACCATTTTTTTTAGTAAATGCGAATGCATTTCATTTTTGGAGCGTGTATCTAGTGGTGATTTTTATTTATTTTTTTTTTTATTTTTTAATTTTTGTTTTCGTTTTTTCCTTTTTTTATTTTATTTTTCCTTATTTTTTTATTTTTTTCTTATTTTTTAAATTTTTTTTTCTTATTTTTTTCTTATTTTTTTATTATTTTTTTATTATTTTATTATTATTTTTTTATTATTTTTTTATTATTTTTTATAATTTTTTTTACTTATTTTTTACTTATTTTTTTCTTATTTTTTTCTTTTTTTTCTTTTTTTTTCTTATTTTTTTTCTTATTTTTTTCTTATTTTTTTTATTTTTTTCTTATTTTTTTCTTATTTTTTCTTATTTTTTTCTTATTTTTTTTCTTATTTTTTTTCTTATTTTTTTTATTAATTTTTTCTAATTTTTTTCTTTTTTTTTCTTATTTTTTTCTTATTTTTTTCTTATTTTTTTAATTCTTTTTCTTATTTTTTTTAATTCTTTTTCTTATTTTTTTTAATTCTTTTTCTTATTTTTTTTGAATTCTTTTTCTTATTTTTCTAATTTTTTTCTTATTTTTTTTATTTTTAATTTTTTTGTTAACACAATTGCGGCGTACATAAGCAACATCATGACCTAATGTCCACCAACATTTAACTCGGAGTTCAAGTTAATTAAAAAGACAAATGATCGACAATCGTCACCCTCGCGGCGAAACAAAACAATAACAAAAGAAAAAAAGTAAGAAGTACCAAATATATCATTAATACCACAAAAATTAACCTCAAATTAACCAAAAAATGTGGCGGGATAAATATTGAGGAGCGTAGATTGCATTAATCTTATCAAATTAGTATGGAACAATGAAACAAAGAGACAAACAGGAAAGCCAAAAATGATTTTAGCACAAACACCAAAAACAAATAAAACAGAAAATAAATCAAAAACAAAAGAAAAAAAAAATGGAAAAAATCAGCAAAAAAAAAACACATTCAAAAAAGATAAATAAAATTCCGATTGGGATGAGATTAAATAAGAAATGACAAATAAATGAGCTTGTTTGTAAAGATATGCATGAATATATTCAAATAATTGTACCATTATTAAGCGTAGCCACTGAAACAACACAGAAAAAGGCAAATTATTTAATAATTGACTGATAATTGAATTTTGAAAGGCAAGTCCGCCGCCTGAAATCTAGCCGCCGCCGCCAATCAAATTAAAGAAAAGTTTATTGAAATAGCATTTATTTCGGCATTCTTTTACTTCTTCTATTCATTCGTACACTTCTTTGCGTTATTAAATAATCTTGGTTTGATGGGGAGGAATATTAAGGAATCAGACAGCTTAATGAAATTATGATTTTTTTGAAAAGTAATGCAATTATTTCGCGAAGGGAGGTTTTGTATGTGTCAATTGTGAAAAAAGAGATTATTAATGGCATGTTTTAAATGGAAAACATTTGGAAATGGGAATAAAAAAAACTTAGATAAAAAATAAAAAATTAATAGTAAAAAAACACAAGCAGACAAACTCATCCTTGAAGTGTTGGGTCGTTCACCAACTTATTTCGTTCGATAGCAACAGCTGCTCTCATTGAATTTTTGCGCAGCCAACTTTACACTTAACCGATTTACCGTTATATATTTTTGCAACTCAAATACTAAGCCTTGTTTGTAAAAAAAAATGTTGCATAATAACTCCAAATAGTTTTTTTTCGGTGTTCTTTCGAAGATTGAAGATCGGAAACAGCATTTACGGCATATTTTACTGTATTTTGTCTGTGAAAGGGTAAAAATGCTGCTCAAGCAAGGCTATGTGATGTGCACGGAGATGTGTTGAGCGAACGGAAATGCCAAAATTGGTTTGTAAATTTCGATGTTGAGGATGCAACACATGCTGACTGACTTCTAGGAGTCGTTGTGGATAAAATAAAGTCATTGGTTGATGCAAATCGTCGAATAACAACTCGAGAGTTTACTAAAAAATTAGATTCACCTAACGTGAGCACTAACATCACTGTAATTTGTTGTTGCTTACAATAATGAAATGCGCAAGGCACCGTGGTCTAAAAGGAATCAGCATCTCAAACCGATATTCACAAAAAACGAGCGCTATGTTGTCTTTGCTGGGATTTATTTTGAGACCCCTTTATTGCGTTTATAAGCTTTTGCTTCATATCAGAAATACACTCGTGGGACTTAACGTTATTTGCCGAGAGGCGACCATAATTAGAAAAATTAATTTTCTAAATATAATTCTTGAATCGGTCGAATCGTGGCACGAAGAGTAATATTTTCACTCTAGTTAGGAGAAATCTCTAGCTTTGACAGTACAACCAGAGTACAGCTTGATTTGCAGAGGAATTTCCGGCTTAAAGGGCCAAATGGTGATATCAAAACGGTCTCTTGTGGCTGCTCTTTGATCTATAAACTCGACTTAAGTCGCATCTCTAGGATTTGCTGCAATCGATACCTGTACTGGACGAGTTAAATAAAGAAGTAATAAATATTACGAATTGACTTGGAAGCACATACAAAGAAACAGCAAGGGAAATTTCTTTGGTGTAATTTTCTTAAATTACAACCCTAAATACTAATTATGAAATTCTCTGAGTTTCTACGCTAAAATATAGCAATTTTCGCTCAAATTGAGAGTTACATAAGACTCTCTCATTGAGAGACGTGAAATTCTGTTTCCAATTTATTCGCTATCGCAATATAAATAAATAAAATCAAAAGGTTCTTGTAATAATAATAAGCTGTTGGAAGAATGCGAACGTAATGCAAAATCTATAAAAACAAATGGAGGAAGATTGAATCTTCACCACAAACTAAAAATGTTAAGGATTGAAGACAAGATATAGTTGGGTAAAAGGTCTCATCCGCAGATCGAAGTCGGTGCTTGATTAAATTGCTATCCTCAGAT